GACATTCAAATTTTGATTTTTTGCTGATCTCATTGTTTAAATAATAAAATTAAATTTTAAAAGCTGTTAACTGTGGCTTTTACAGAAAAACAAGACAGAATTTTGAAAGAGCATATTTTACTAAAGACTATATTTTGTACCATGTGTCTTTCATTTCAAGAAAATATCGAGGTTGTCTAAAAAATATTTTGTAAATTTTATATTTTGCCAAACAAGATAGAACACCTGACATAAATACATATAGTACAAAATATGAGACATTAAAAGTTTAAGGTAAATGTTGCACATTGTCCGTTTAAGTTAGGAACGTTTGAAAAATACACCCGGAAATAAAAAGAAAAAGCGCTTGTAGCCACTTTCAAATGTTAAAAAGGATCAACACCATCAAAAGTGAAAAACAAAAAACGAATTCATCATTGTTGAGCACAAAAACGTAATTAAATAATCTACGGGTATCACAGCTTAGTGTAAATAAGTTTAATCAATGGCAAGCTTACTCATCGTCAGTTGTTAGTTATTTCATGTTCTCTAATTTGTTTTATTTTTATGACAAAAGGCCATAGAGAAAAAGCACAGTTAATAAACCACCGCAGAACATGTGGTATCAAAATATACTTTCTGAATGTTTCAGATCTCTAATTGTAAGTTAATTAGTTTAGAGCTCTAGATGAAAAAGTGAACTTTTTACTTTTGATTGATATAGCGATTTTAATAAAAAATTAAAACTTTGATAGTATAAAAAGCTTCTTTCAACGATATAGTTTCCATTAACTCATTTATGATGTGAACCATATTTAGAAGCTATTAGAAGTTAAAACGGTTTCAATCGTGGCAAGACGGGACGACGCTCTTGCACGGACCGCCCATATTGTCATTTCTTTTATTACACGCGTACAAACTCATCTCTTCATTTGAATGCATATTATCGTAGTTAATTTAAAAGTAAAAGTTGTTTTATTATCAAAAATACGTATTAAGGCTTGTTTACTTATTTTCACGCCCTTCAATAAATCTTAAATCCGATGTTTTACAACAGCCAGACTTGCCAGTCACATGCTAATGTTTTTCTTCTAGTTTACACATTCTCTTTTTTTAGAAAGTAACACTTAGGGATTTGAAATTTTTTAATAATTTTAAGTATTCTTGATCCCTATTTCTTCTTAAGTCATGTATGTCAATGCATTTCTAACTTAGGAATGGCAGTAAATAATTTGAATTTGAAATTTTTTATTATTTTTGGAATGTGAAAATTATCTCGAATGTTTCAGAAAAAATGCACATTGAGCACAAAACTAACTCAGTATCTAAAAAAAAACCAAGAAATTAATTGCAAAGAGAAAATCAAACAAGTGGTAGATACACAGCATGTCTCAGTTAATTTTCTTAATATGTAAAACATGGAATTTTTTTTAATTGCCAATACAGCCGGTCAGTAAGCTTGCTGAAATAAATATCGTAGTCAAAATTAAGAACAAAGATTCACGAAGCGAATAAAAAGGAAAATTAATAATTCGAAAGATTAATACGCAACCTTACAATCTAAACGCTAGTTAAGTGGTCCTGTAATTGTTTTCTGTTTATTTTTCTTTCTATCGCAACACCGCATTGACAACATCTTTGATTGTGTTGTTAACGTCGTTAAGATACCGTATGTTTTCGGTACTGTTTCTTGATCCCGCTGATCTGAGTTGTCTCGCTTGCGACTCTAACCTGCTCAGTAACTCTCGAAAATGGAATTTCGCATGCGCGGGAACAACATTATCCGAATAATCCAAACAAGAGACGTGAAGAAGTCCTATTTTGTCGGACAATTGCAACCAATTGGACGTGGAAACGTTCGAGTTCGACCTAATGCTTTTTACCGTTGTCTCCAGGGCTTGACATATGTCCAGAATATTGTCCTTATCGCTTCGGTCCGAGTTGTTTGTTTTAGAATTGTCTTCAAGGGGCGAAGTGTTGTTAGTTGGTTTAATGGAAACTGGAGGTTTGGAATTTGATGATATAGGGGTTGCGTATATTGCTGGCACAAGCGGACGAGAGGACATAATCGGTTTTATTGATTTTAAGGGCGGTTTTGTGGGAATTACTGGTTTCTCGTCATTGGTTGTCGGTGGTGGCCAAGAACGTTTGTCAGTTTTGGATGTGGTTAAAATTTTGAAAGAGTCTTCAGAAGTTTCTACGGGGGAGGTTTCAGTCGACGCTTCCGTGTTTTTGTCGTTTTTAAGCGGCATTTTCGGACTTAATTGAATTGTAGATTCTGTTGCTTCTTTAGTTTCCCATAATTTTTTTAAACTACTTATACTTCCGGTACTTTTTCTTTTATCGTCTCCTTCATCCAGTCTATTCGTACCATTATCAGAACTTGCAGTGCTTTCTCTTTTGTTATTTTCCTTTTCATGTTCTTCTTCACCATTATTTTTAATCTGCTCTGTTTCGTCTTCGTTTCTGTCTGCTTTCTCGATTTTTCTTAAGCGTGATTTGAAATCTATAATTCCGGTTGTGCCATTCTCTTCCTTGTCCCTATTTTTAGTAATAAACGAGGGGTCGACTTTCTTAAGTTGCGGTATGAAGGAGTTGGGTTTATCGTTTTGTTTTGGGGAAGTCTCTTTTTTGTTAAGATCTAAATTCATGGTTTCGGACAGTTCGGACACAAGTTGTAAGGCGGGATCTAAACTAATACTACTCACAGCCGTAGACGACGGTTCTACTGGAGATTCGGATGAGTTTCTGCTCTTCTTGTCTGCACGTTCTTTGATCTCGGCGACAAGTTTCAATTCCATCTCTTTCATCACATTTTTATTTTTGAACACCAACGACGACGATTTTTCTTTGGCATTTGATGACAATACGTTCGCGTCATCTACGTTTTCGATTACGTTTTTACTACAAATTTCCTCGTGCTCTTCGAATTCTGGAAGTGAAATTGAAAACAAAAATCGAAAAAAAAAAAACAATATACAAAAGTAACGAAGATGTTCTGCCTCTTTCTTCACATTCTTTTTATCCCAGTCACTTCTGAATCTTGGCTGGTCAATTTACTTATTAATTAAAGCGTTCAAATAAATTTATAATTGTAAAATTGAAAAAACAATAACGTTACAGATTTAAAACAAATCCACTCACATTAAGAACGGCCATTCTGTTTCAAATTCTTAACGCTGCAGCAAAAAGATAACAATTTTGTATTAGTTTTTAATTGATTAAAACGTTTTGTTTGTAGATATTGAAGGAGCGTATTCATGTATTCATAAAAAAAAAGAATTTTAATTGAGTTACACAAGAAGAAAGTGTTTTCTTTATAACAGAAAACGCCAGAAGTAGTGTGTTTTGACCGGTTTCGTTACAAAATGAGGAGGAGCATTTCATTGACCGGATACTAAGTTACGCTAGTTCAACACCTGCGGTTGGGTTAGCAAACTTTATCATTCCCGATGGTGCGACTGGTCATACGCGTCCAACCGATCCTCATGTTGTACCAGAATCTGCGTTGGTCTGTGGTTGTTCTTATTCATCGCACCCTACTTTTGGATACGTATAACGCACGATAGTGAATGATAAAGCTCATCAACCCAATTCTCAATCAACGGCAAATATTAAACGCGTATGATTTAGTAACCCGTCAATGACACCCCCCTCCTCAATTTGAAATAGAACTGGTTAAAACACACTAATAATGGAAGTTTAAGTAACTCAAAATTAATAAAAGAAAGTAACTTATTTACCTAGTACGTTTTGGAGGCACAGGAGCCTGTTTGCCTCTCCTGTTTGTTGTACGTCTTAATTGAACCATGCTACTCTTTGAATTAGTTGATTGTCCTCCTGTAAATGTTGACAACTTCACCGGAACATTTCCATGANTTGCTTTCAATAAAAAACTTGAAGTTGATAATGGACAGCAAAACCCATAAAAACCATTGTGTCACATAAATGCCTGGCACTAATACCACATTTTGTTTCAGTTTGTTTATGTTATAAAAACAATTTCCAAAACACTTCAGTTAAGATGTATTAAAAAAATAAAAAATATATTCATAAATAATGTAATCAAAATGGGATAGAGCTTTTAGTATATTCTTCAATCATTTATGTAACTGAGACACGCTGTATAAATAATTCACACCCTGACCTAATAAACTGATAAGATAATATGGGTGATAGCTTAAATATTATTATAAATAACTTACAAATTTTGGTTCAATAAATCAACGAATCGTCAGGCAGAGGTAGATTGTTTTTGTAAGACAATTTTCTTGATGAAACTCTGATAAGGTTGTTTTTGGGGAGCTGAAGCTGGAAGATAATGCTTGCCAGGATGAATAACAGTGACTGGATTCTCAAAAATGTCTCTCAATTCTTCTGACATCACTATTAAAAATAAAATATGAAGCAACAAAGAATGCATTATTTGTTTAAATACCTCTTGGAATAATATCATCTTGTTCACCAAAAATATGTAGTGAAGGCAATTTTATTTTATCTGAATAGTAGTTTACATGTGGCAAGGAATAGGATGGAAATCCAGCTGCCATAATGGCAAAACTAAAGTGATAGCTCAACACTGTAACAGAAATATCTTAATAACTATGAAAAAACAATGAATAATTTCTCTTACGTCCCAGCTGCTGCATCGAACATAAAATTCCCACAAAACATGCTCCTTGAGAAAATCCTAGAATGCCATCAAAGGGGCCAAATTCTTTAAATGCTTTTTCAACTAAAATTAAACTTTCTTCAAAACCAACAGCAGGACCTCCCTTGACAGTGCCTCGAAAACTGTTATTTTCCTTGTTGAACCACCAACTGTATTGCTCTAAAATGACACCAAAACTTGTTATTTATATTATCATAAAACAGAAGGTACATCATTATTAAGTTACCCTCATTTGTACCATCTCCTACGTCTGAGACTATTTCCTTTTCATTATTTTCATTTACTACTTTATGAGGTGCAGTAATATAAGTAAATTGTGCCCACTTTTGGACAGTTTTTCGAAATGAACCGGTTTTTTGCCGAAACGTCTCTCCGTTTTGCCTATATCCATGCAATGCTAATATTTTTAATTTTTCACCAGAGTTTTCAGGCGACATATTATTACCTGAACAAATTATAAATTTTGCCTTATTTTCAAAGGTAAAGATTTTGCACGTGAACTTCTCATGTGAAGGCAGCAGACATTCCATAGATTACACATAAGTCTGAGGTTACGTCAGGTTACGTAGTCATTCATAGATAAGGTTATCGTCATAGAGAAGGGTTAAGAGACATAAGAATAAAGGGTATCTGTGTATAAAAACTCTATTACCTTCAATAGACCATAGACGCGTTCAGTATATATTTCTTTAATCTATGGATGCATTAGCATGTTGTCATTTTAAAATAGGTTATCTACGAAAAGAGGTTAGAAATACATGGCGGTACATGGCTTTGCTTGGGTTAGATTGGAATAAGTCATCCTAAGTTGTGATTTCTAATAAACGCCTATTAAAAATAAAAGGATAAATAAATCAAATTAGAAATGGTTGTATTTACGTGCAATCATTGTGGTGAGAGTGTACATAAACCGGCAGTAGAGAAGCATTATAATTTTGCGTGTCGCAAATATAAGGACTTAACATGTGTTGATTGTTTCAAAGATTTTCGGTAAGTTTTTTTGACTTACTTGATTAAATTCATATTCATTATACCACTTTATTTGTAAGGGGTGAAGAATATTCAGTTCATACAAAATGCCTAACTGAGGATGAAAGGTATGCTGCTAAAGGTTCTATGCCTATTGGAGTTCAGAAAAAAGGTGAAGCAAAGCAGGATGCATGGGTGGAGATGATAAGAGCTATTATCCAGGAAGATATTAATATGAAGCCTCAAAATAAGAATTTGCTGTTAACCATTTCAAAACATAATAATGTTCCCAGGAAAAAGCAAAAGTTTCTTGTATGTAGTCAATCCTTTTCATATTACATTTTAATAATTGGTTTATTTCTTTTCTTAGAATTATATTAAAAGTGCAACAGGCGGTAAAGTATCAGAAAATACAATTTCTGATGTTTGGGACATAATAGAAAGCTATAAGGAAAAACATGTTAAATTGAATAAAACAAAAAATGAAAATGATAAAAAAGAAGAAGAAAACCATTCCAATTCTGAAACAATTAAAATGAAAAATGGAGAAAGTGGAGCTGAAAAAGCACCTAAAACGACTAAGCGAAAAGATGTGAATGACTCCATTGAGGTTGCTTCTCCAAAGAAAAAATCTAAAACTGAAAAATTGAAAGCAGCTAAGGAAACTGAAACTGTAGAAGTTGAAAAGAACTCTTCAGAAATTTGTAGAGTAAACCAAAAAAGAAAAGAAAATGATATTGACGGTGATAATGAAATAAAACAAAAGAAAAACAAAACTTTGGAAACAAATTATAAATTAGAAGAAAATTCTACTTCAAAGAAGAAAAAACAAAAAGTAACTGACAAAACAGAGACTTCATTAAAAAACGAAGCAAATCAAGAGAATGCTTCATTAAAAGCAAATAAAAAGAAGAAAAATAAAAATACTGTATCTGAAAAAACAAATAGTAATGGAGGGGGCTTAGAATTGGATGAAAAAATATCTGAGATAAATGAACAGAATTTAACTCAACTCAATGAAAGCTCATTAATTGAAAATAGCCAAGAAAACAGCAAATCTTTTATTATTGAAGACATGATCTTGAATATTATGAAGAAATACAGTGAAATTTCTATTGTAAAATTGGAAAAGAAAATTACCACCAAGTATATAAAGCATACACAAGAAGCAGAGGTTCCACAAAAGTTTGTGAAGAAATTTCATAAGAAGCTAAAAAAATGTGAAAAGGTTGAAATAGCTGATAATATTGTTAAGCTTAAAAATGTATTTGATGAACAAAATAATTAAAAACTATATCATATTTGTTCTTAAATAACTTCTGTTATCATTTTCTAAGTGGGTATTAAGATATTCCTCTACTGAATCAGTATTCCACTTTTCAATAGCAACAGTTTCTTGTAAGTGCCCATCATTATCATATAATTTAATTATAGGATCTAAGCCTCTTACGTATCGAATATTTAAGTTTAAAAACTTAGCAGGCTTGTCACTCTTAATAAAGGCTTCAATTTGTGGATATGCTCCAAATTTACAAGTACATACTTCCAACACAGCTTTTGCATATTTCTTATCTGCCACTGTGTTCTCATCTGGATGGCAACATTCTAAACAATTACTCCTAAAAAAGTTTATTACTCATCTGAAGAATACTACTTAAAAACTTACTTAATTATACCAAGATTAAAGTTGCTAAGCTGTTCACAAGATGAACATAGTAAATTCGCCTTATTAAATCCTAGAGCCCAGCAATCATCACTTGAAAATTCGCCTTTGATAAGTACCTATTTTAAACAACTATTAATACATATGGAATAAATGTGTTAGACAATTACTTACCAGAATTGAACATAAAAGAACGCCAAGTAAAAACATCTTTATTTTTAGGTATATCACTTTAAAATGCAACTTTTTGTTACATTACTCACGTATATATCATAGATAATAGATACACAAAGGGTATATATCGTGTTCATCCTATACAGATGACCATAGATATTCAGATGACGAATAAAAACTGTAGAAACTTGTTAAATAGGAACCATAGAAGTGTGGCGTTGTCAAATCTTCACAAATTGTTGCAAAATAAAACAACAAAAACTATAACTATGGAAGCGGCAATTATTTACAATAAAATTTGTTAATAAAATATGAGACCTTTAACTACAAATTCATCACGCAGGTCTATTCTCTCTTCACGAGTTTTTTTAGTATTAATTAAAAATAAAAAGGGTGAAAAAATTATTAGCAAATTTATTAAGATAGATACAGTCTGTTTTCCCTATCTAAGGCCTGTACAAAATGCAAGTACGCTTATATACACAAAATTAAAATTAAATATCCAATATTCACATAAATTCTACCTACAAAAGTTTATAAAAATCACACAAAAATAAATATGCCATGTTCTTGCAGCTTTTATAATTAATACAACTGCGCTTTAATGGCACATGTCGTTATCTGAGTAAAAATGCAGGAATTTATTTTGCTTTTTTAAATAAGTAAGCAAAGAAAACCTAAATTCGATTTGCTTTTTCTCTTTTACTGTGAAGAGATAATAAACTAAATACATAGTAAAATATTACAACGATTGCAAATGTTTCCGATTTAATCGCTATCGTTGTCAATTCGTTTATTTTTTGAAGCATTTTTATCATGTACTTATTTATGTTTGCATACTATTATTAAGAATGTGGTCGATAAATTTTATAATAATACGAGAGGATTAAACACTGAGCTTATATAAGTTGAGAAACCGGACCTCTTTCTTAAACACTCATTACTTTTTAAACAATAAATTATTTTCATTAACACTGTAATAGGGAGAAAAAAATTACATAAAAACAAAAATTTGCAAGAACAATGAAAACGTTAAAACAAAGTTTAAAAGAATTTCTTCATCTTGAACACAGGGTGTTCCACACCACTATAGTTTCTCTCTATAATTCAGTTAGAAAATTTAACCACCAGTTGATATAAAAGACCGATAATAGTATGAGCCCAACAGCAGGTTTAATAAGTTTTCTAAAAAGTGTTTTTATTATTTTATTTACTCTAATAATTCATACTGTTTAGTATACAGTTAATAAACACAATCATTTTGGTACTCAAACTTGGCCATTTGCATTTACTGTTATGGGAGCTATTTTCATACTCTTATCGATTCCAGTCCGTTATGATGTCAAAGTACAGATAAATTAGCTATTAATTGGAGTGTTTCAAACTTAAAGAACTTAACACTCTTTATAACACATATATTTTTGTAGGTTTTTTAATGAAATTATGGAGTAACTACACAGGAGTGGGCCACCCTGTATACTTTAGATTACATATATACAATTGATTTTCTAAAATAAAAAACATATAATTAGAGAATTTGTTTTCTATTACCTACGTGAATTACAAAGTCAAAATGCACTGTTTTTGTTTTCAAATAAAAATATTTAAAAAAGGGGTCCGCAAGTTAACTATAATCTAAGTTTAGGAATTTATCTTTGGATTGTAAAAAATTAGTAGCATCTTATGTCCTACTGATAGTACAACGAAATTTTCAGTACTTTTTAAAAACCTTCTATTCACACAGTACATCCACCGAATGCCATGATAAATATATAC